TCTGAAGTGGGCCAAAGTGGCTCTCTAAAGTACAGGGCATAGGACAAGGCCACTGTTGTCTAGTCTTAAGAGCATACAGAAAGTGCACCCAGAGGTAGAGCCACTTTGATTTTCTATCAGAAGATGGTTTTCCAGCTTCCCAGACAAGCCACACTCTCTTCCCATTGTTTGCCATCTTCTTGGCCTGTGGGCTGTTACTCAAGAAGGTCATACGGACAGAGCTTTATCTGGAGGCAGAAACCATAGGCTGTAGGCTTGGCTGTATTTACACGGGGGATGTAAATTCAACAAACCAATCTCCACTGCACACACAAGGCTTTCTCAGCAATTTCCAACTTGTTTGCACCAACCCGAATGTAAACCCCATGTTCTCCATGTTGCAGGCAATTACCCAGCAGAAGCTGGGTTTGGCAGATGAGGTTTAGAGGGGTCAGACTGAAAGCATGAATGCTTCCATCACACTCTAAAAACTAGTTTCCATTGAATAGGATTTCAGGATATTCTCTTGCTTAAATGCAAAAAAAAAAAAAAAAAAAAAAAAAAAATTACCCTTAAATATCCAAGTGCTAAGGGTAGCACCTAACTCAGTGTTGCTACTTAATAGCCACTGTCTTTCCCTTTCCTGAATGGGAGTTCTCAGATTTACAAAATGCTTTCACCTGCAGGTACCCAATCTCTAGGTTCACCAGAGTCCTTCTCGCCTTTGGAATACAAACTGAGATTTCCCTGAATCTCTGAATTTTCATAGCTAGTAGAACCCCCAAAATCATCTCCCAAGATTTCAGTAACACACATCAGCAAATTTTCCAAGGTTCCTTTGCCTCTGGTCGCTGTGTTCCCATGTGGCATCTTATTAGGCCCAAGGCATGCAGACCTCAGTCCCTTCTAGAACCCATAGGAGATCCAGGCACAACAATCATCTTTGTTGTATTTTGAGGGCCTCGCTGGAGATCTAAAAGTCACTTGAGGAGTGATCCTATTGGGCTTCACCCAATGTACTGCCATTTTTTCACCCTCACACCTCTCTTATTCTATCTGAGCCCCCAGTGGGTTTATTTTTCTCTTCCACTGGAATCTCAGCATAAGTGATGCTGAGGCCCCAAGGATGCAGCTTCTACCCCACACAAGCTTCCAAAGGCATTTCTCCAAGAAAGGCAATTCTCTCTAAGAGGAGTACCTACTGTTAGTCAAAGGAAATGTTCTCTCTCTTTACAGTTCATCTTATGCTCCTTAACAACCTTCTGAGACTAGTGTAATAATTTCCACTTTATAGATGAGGAGATGGAGGCTCAGCAATGACATGCCCTTGTCCAAGGTCACCCAGATAGTGAGTGCCAGAGTCTGGCTTCAAGCCACAATCTAATCGGCACCACTGTACTTGGGGCCCACTGTGACAGTCAGAGGATGGTTTTCAAGAGGATTGCTCAAGAGGGAACAAGTGGCTTTTCCTGTATCCCAACTTTCCCAGTCTGGAAGAGTCTCTTTGCTGTGTGGCAAGATCACAATATCCTTGTCTTCTTTAAAAAGATGTTCCTGTTTACTCCTGTAAGAGAAGCAGAAATGTGTGTATGTACATACCTCCAGAGGTGAGCTCCAGGGAGAATGGAGACCGGGGATCAAAAGGCCAGTGGTCAGCTTTGCACTAAATGTGTTTGCGTCACTGCACCACCCTCTCCCGCAGGTCCTAGGTTCCTGAGACCCAAGTCATTTTTGCCTTATACTATTTTGGCTTTCTCACAATATTCTCTTCAAATCTCCCCAGACTTCCGATGCAGGCGACATGCCTCATGTTCATGTTCTTTCCCTGGTCTCAGTCTCCAGTGGCGTCAAGGTGCTGAGAAAACACAGGTTTTCGACTCTGGCAGACCTCAGATCTTATCTGTGCCTCTCACTCTGTAGCTTTAGGCCAATCATTTTGTCTCAAAGAGCTCTGGTTTCCTCTGGGACACAGCTAGTGATGCCTTCCTCCCAGGTAGTGAGATTTCCAAAATAGAGAGTGCCAATGATAACTTACAGAGATTTTTACTTTGCACACTACATGTGGGGTCAGGCAGACAAGTTCAAAACCCCACTTTGTCACCTGCTGGCCCTGCTACTCTGTACAAATTCCTGCACACTTCTGGACCTCTATTCATCTGTAATGTGGGGTGGGCCATCCTTCCTCCTCGGGTCATAAGATGGTTCAGAAGATAGAGCCCAGCACTTGTGGCTACGGCTCCGTCAATGGTGTTTTGTTTTTATAGTTTTGTTTGTGGGTTAAGGCCATAATGACGATCTCAAAAATTATATTTAACATGGGATGTGGTACATTTTAAGATATTCAATAAAATGTGATCTTAATCTTGGGTTTAAATGGGTCTTAAGTGTTCCTCTTCTCCCTGCCTCAGGAGGGAGGTGAGAGCACCATGCGGGTGAGTGTTGTATTGGGGCTTGGCATCAGTTTGGAGAGCAAACCCAGGGGAGGAGTTTGCTCTGAAGAGGCCCTGAACAGGGGCAGTGGCTCCCTGCCAGGAGAGTTCTGGCACCTGGACAAGTAGACAGGCCCCAGCTAGGCAAGGCTGGTGGGGATGCTTGGGGCTTCCCAGGCAAGCCGTTTCTTGCTCTCTCTGTGCCTGTACATCTGCTCTCATTGCAGTCTGTACAACTGTGAAGTGTTTAGCTAGCAGCCGCAACCCCACCCAGTCATAATCCCCAACTACGGGGACCACACTTCACCTTCCGTTCCACAGTAGGCCCTGAGCAACAGCTTGTTCAATGTCACATTCTCAGAGTCACCCATTTGATTTTGGGATGCTGGCTCTGCTTTGCATAAAGGATCTGTGAGCATGAGTAATTGGGCTGTAAGAGTGACCATTAATTCCTCAGTTGATCAGGGGCCAGGGCTGCCCACTATCCTCAACACCCTCACTCCTGCAGCCACGTGGGCACCTCTGTGCTGGCTCACCAGGTTCCCTGACATTCCTGTGGACTATGTTCCTTGGTAAGACTCTGACACAAGTTACAGGACATTTTCCCCAAAGGGACAGATCAACTAGACTCTGACACAAGTTACAGGACATTTTCCCCAAAGGGACAGATCAACTAGACTCTGACACAAGTTACAGGACATTTTCCCCATAGGGACAGATCAACTAGACTCTGACACAAGTTACAGGACATTTTCCCCATAGGGACAGATCAACTAGACTCTGACACAAATTACAGGACATTTTCCCCATAGGGACAGATCAACTAGCACCAATAGCACCTCCTCTTTCTTATTGCTGCATTGGTGCAGAGGTAGCCTTACCCCTCAATGCTCTGAGGGGATTGGAGCAATGATGGAACCCTACTCCATCATTTTGCATAAGGGTGCTCCCAGCACTGCCACTCACAAGGCATTCAAGGTAGACACAGCATACGGAACACTTTTATTATTACTATTACATATATATTATTACTATTACTGCAAAATGAACAACACACCCCGGTTATCATACGTAGAGTGCTTATTAAGTTTGAATTCTAACTGCTTTACAAACATCTCATCAAATTTCCCCTTCCCCCTGCAATGAGGTTAGCTACTATTATTATCATCGTTTTACAAATGAAATAAAAAGTGGACCCAAAGAGGATACATAACTGGGCAAAGTCCTTTAGGGATGAGAAGAGGTACTGATTTAATCTCTAGCCTGTGCCTCACTCCTCCCAGATAAGAAAGTCTGACGCAAGAATTTCTGGGGTATCTATCACATGAGAAGTCATGTTTCTACCATAACAAATGCCTGAGCCAGGAGCCAGGCATGGTGGATGATGCCTGCAATCCCATCACTTTGGGAAGCCAAGGCAGGATGATCGATTGAGCCCAGGAGTTTGAGACCAGCCTGGGCAACATAGAGAGACCCCATATCTGAAAAGATAAAAATAAAAAAATTAGCCAAGCATGCTGTAGGCCCACCTATGTGTGAGGCTGAGGCTAGAGGATCATGATTGCTTGAGCCTAGGAGTTTGAGGCTGGGATGAGCTCTGATCATGCCACTGCATGCCAGCCTAGGAGACAGAGTCAGACTCCCATCTCAAAGAAACAAAACAAGCCACTTCAAAAAACAAATGCCTAAACCTCAACATAAAATGAGCTTTACATGTGAGAGTTTTGAAAAACATCTTGTTTGTTATAACCTGTTTTATATAAGAAAAAAAATCTAATGTGCGTAAAGTATAAACAGAATATTTCTAATAAAATTAGACATGGACAATGTTATGTATGGTGATCTGAGACCAAGATCAATAGTAAGTGTGGAGTGGGAGACAGCATTAGGGTGAGAAGGCATGCTCAGATTTGCTTTTACAATGATGTTCCCAGAGGGGCCACTTAGGAAGAAAGTAGAGAGGAGACAAAGACGGGTGGAAGACTGTTGTAGGAGGTTAGGAAATGATGAACTGTGTTGTCAAGGAAAGGAGAGGAAATCCCAAAGCAGAGTTAATGGGTCACGATGACTGCATGGATAAACTGGGTGTTGCGGGTTGAGGCTGTGACTCAGTTTCCAGCTTGTGCATCTGGATGTTGTTGGCTGAAGAGGAGAGGCTGACCTCCAAGGGAACAGGCTGTGGCTGAATTCAGTATAAGGAGGCAGGTTGGCTCTCAGCAGCCGTCTAAATAAGCATGTCCCAGAAGCGGAGAGTGTACTGTTTGTGGTACCAAGAAGGTTTTCAATGGCATTCTGATGCACCCTTAAGAATTTAACAATTTCACATTTATTTTTATGGTTAACATTTATTGATGACGTTTTCCTTTTATATATTTATACTTTCTATTAGCTGCATGTATTTTAAGACAAGGGAGATTGATTTAAAGAAAAAAGTTCTCTAAATTATATTGCATGTGTCAAAAATCATGATGGCAGTGATTGAATGGTGGAGATATGTTTAGAAAAGCTGTGTTCCCTGTTTTAGCAGAACATGCACCCCAGCTTCCCGATGGTCTCTTCAGAGCCCTTGTTTCTTGCCTGCATGTCTTGCAGATCCGGTGCATGGCCCACAGAACGTGGAAATCGTAGACATCCGAGCCCGGCAGCTGACCCTGCAGTGGGAGCCCTTCGGCTACGCGGTGACCCGCTGCCATAGCTACAACCTCACCGTGCAGTACCAGTACGTGTTCAACCAGCAGCAGTACGAGGCCGAGGAGGTCATCCAGACCTCCTCCCACTACACCCTGCGAGGCCTGCGCCCCTTCATGACCATTCGCCTGCGACTCCTGCTGTCTAACCCCGAGGGCCGAATGGAGAGCGAGGAGCTAGTGGTGCAGACTGAGGAAGACGGTGAGCAAGGGAGGAAAGCTTACATGGGAATGGGGATATTGAATCTGTTCACAAGGCTGTGGCAGTCAGTTATGAGGCTTTTATTTTTCCTACATTTTTAATTCCCTCACACATACTTTTCTTTTCCAAGGTCTTCAGTGAAGGACTATGTAAACGGCATTGCACACCTCCAGGGCGTGCTTTTCCCATCACAGTGACAGCTCTGCCATAGACATGCACTCAGCTTTGGCCCTTTTGTACCCCCATCCCTCTTCTTGCTTTATACCAGTGTATGAGACCATTCTTACATTGCTATAGCGACCTGCGGCCAGGTGCGGTGGCTCATGCGTGTAATCCCAGCACTTTGGGAGGCCGGAGCGGGTGGATTGCCTGAGCTCAGGAGTTTGAGACCAGCCTGGGTAACATGGTGAAACCCCATCTTTACTAAAATACAAAACAATTAGCCAGGCATGGCAGCATGTGCCTGTAATCCCAGCTACGCAGGAGGCTGATGCCGGAGAATTGCTTGAACCCAGGAGGCAGAGGTTGCAGTGAGCCAAGATTGTACCACTGCACTCCAGCCTGGGCAACAGAGTGAGATTCTTTCTCTACAAGAAAAACAAACAAACAAATAAACAAAAAAAAAAACCACCTGAGACTGGGTAATTTATAACGAAAGGAGGTTTAATTGGCTCACAGTTCTGCAGGCTGTTCAGAAAGCATAGCACTGACATAGCTTGGCTTCTGGGGAGGCTGAGGAGCGTTTACTCATGGTGGAAGGCGAAGTAGGAGCAGGCACACCACGTGGCCAAAGCAGGCGCAAGAGAGAGATTGGTGGTACGGTGCCACACACTCAACCAGATCTCTGGGGAATTCACTCACTGGCATGAAGACAGCACCAACCCATGAGGGATCCACTTCCATGATCCAGTCACACCTCCAGCATTGAAGATTACATTCAACGTGAGATTTGGGAGGGCACAGATACCCAAACTGTATCAACCACCTTCTCTGTCCAAGGTTTGACTGCACTGGTGCCTCCAGAAAGAGAAAACATGTATCACGTTGTTTAAACATGTTGAATTTGGAAGTCAGACAATGCTGAATTATGTCAGAATTAAAAACAGAAAATACATATAAAAAGCTTAGCATACACATTGGATGCACCCAGGACTGAATATTCACCTGGCTGGATGACAGTCATCTCAAACTCAAGGTATCTGAAAATGAACTTATCTCCAATTCGATACTGACTTTCCCTGTGTTCCTCAACTCAATGAACTGCACCTAGTAACTCAAGATAGAGACCTGAAAGTCAGCCTGGGAGCCTCCATGTTTCCCTCCCCAACCCACCCCACCTCCATACCCCACAAGTTTCTAATGGGTGTGCTTCCTGCAGTTTATCTTCCTCATGACTTGAGACTCCAAGAACCCAGAGCCACTACTGCTAAAACACAGAACTTTTCCTGCCTCTCTGTCCTTACCCATGCCATTTCTCTTGCTTGGAATGACCTCTCCTCCATGTTTGCAAGGAAACCTCTATTGACCTTTCAAGTCTGCTCAGATGTTACTTCCTCCAGGAAGCTTTCCTTGATTGCCACAGATTGACTTGGATGTTTCTTCCCAGGTTCACTGCAGTTACCTTAGTGATAGCATAGAATTTGCCAGTTCCAGGACTTACCTAAGAAACACTTCCCCATGACCATATTTCAGTTTCCCCTCCAGCCAGCCCAGGCTGCCCCTTGCCTTGTGGGATGGCTTTAGATAGTTCCCGAGAATCAGACTCAGATGAAGATTCGTGTGCAAGTGACTGATTAAGAAAGTTTTCCCAGGGCAGACTGGGAGGGGAGTGAGGGAAGTGGGATAAGGAAGGGGAGAAAGTCAAGGTGCAACTTTTGGCCAAGTCCAGCAAAAACTGACTGCAACCTGAGCCTTCGGGGAACTGTTCAGGGTGGGCCATGCATCACAGGTGTCCTAAGTTAGGCAAGGAAGCTGTCAGCCAACAGTTTGGGTCTGGGATGGGGAGGAGAGATTCAGAGGTAAAATTTTAGTAACTTGTCTTTCTGCACATGCAGGTAAAGAATAGAGGCTCACAAAAATGGTATACAGAGATCTGAAAGGTCTAGCCAGAGCACTGGCATTGTCAGTTGCATAAAGAAAATACCCAACTTGACTCAGATTAGCCTTAGAACTTGAAGACAGCACCTCTGCTGTGGCAATTCTGTTTAGTACTTGTTTTCTTTTTTTCATTTACTTTTTTTTCTTTCTTTGTGTGTTCCTGGGATCCAGTAGGATCTAGTACTCTTGCTTCATGTAAGCAAGTTCTAAATACCTCAGAGTTATGACCCTGAGTAGAACCCAGATTCACATTCTCAGCTGCAAAATCTCATGAAAAGATAAGGGAAATAGTGCCAGCCTCTTCTTACCTTGCCCCTAATTCTCACTTCCACCATGTCCCATCCTAGAGCTGGAAGTTTTACACAGTCTACTTTCATGATCCATCCCTCCAGTTCATCCTCATAGCCATCCTCTTTGCAGACCCCACACACTGGACTTTGGGGTCATCCTTGGAGTAGACTGTGTAAAACTTCAAGTTCTAGAAAGATTTCCCTAGACCTGACTTCATTGTTTCAGAAATGTGTAGCCCCTTCCTCCAGCATGTAGAATTGTTCACTGTTAGACAATGTACACTCTGGAGCCACGCATGCCTGGACAAATTGTGTAACCTCTTAGTGACTTGGTTTCCTCATCTATAAAATGGAATTAGTTGGCCAGGCATGGTGGCTCACCCTGTAATCCCAGCACTTTGGGAGGCTGAGGCAGTCAGATCACCAGGTCAGGAGATCGAGACCATCCTGGCTAACATGGTGAAACCCCATCTCTACTAAAAATACAAAAAATTAGCTGGACGTGATGGCATGTACCTGTAGTCCCAGCTACTCAGGAGGCTGAGGCAGGAGAGTCACTTGAACCCGGGAGGTGGAGGTTGCAGTGAGCTGAGATCGTGCCACTGTACTCCAGCCTGGGTGACAGAACGAGACTCCATCTCAAACAGAAAAGGAATAATTAAAGTACCTATCTTATAGATTCTCATGCACATAAAGTGGGATGATATATAAAGAAATTGGACTAACACCCAGCATATTATAAGGTACTACATTTTCGGTGAACCGCGGGAAATTAAAAAAAGGAATTCTTCACAAAGGAGCATCTAGCCCCGGCAACTGAGAAACTGCCTAACTCCCCTAGGAAACCTCTTCAGAGCTCTAGACAGGTCCAGACATCTAGAAATCTAATTGGTTGTAGGAAATACATGGTAGACACTCAAAAAGTGGCAGTGTGCTTGGTGCCTGATATGAGAAACAGAGTCAGGGCAAAAGGGTGGTTCAGTGACTGATATTCACAGGGAATTCCTGGTTGTTTGAGAGGGAGAAGTCACTGCTGAAAATCAGCATGAAAATTCAGGAGATGAACAATAAGGTTTTCCCAAGGAGCAACTCAGGGCACCTTTTTAAAGATGCTCTGCCCACCTTGAGCTGCTCTTTGAGGATTACCTCCCTGTGCCTCAGCAAACCCCAAGTCCAGCTTTAAGATGTTCCTTAACTTGTCTCTTTCTTCTTCCTGTCACCAAGAAAAAAAAGCCTTTATCAAAACAACATGAGAGCAGGAATGCTTTGAAATTAAATTTTAATTAAACATCATTAATAAAACATCAATTCCTGCTCTATGGAGATGTGTGGACATTATCATACTAAAAACACCAACATGCAAGACACGATTCCTCAGTTCTGTAACTATGCTGAGGCTCTGCCTCAACACCCACTGGACTGAAGGAAGATCTCAGTGTAGAACCCCGCTGTATGCCAGGGTTAGGTTCCATTCTCCCTAAAGAGGGAGGAGGCACCGTTTCTGTTGACTGGGTAACTCATTCACCTCAAGGACAAGATGAGGCTATAGCATGACTCTAGTAGATTAACTGAAACCCCCCTCCAGGAGCCAGCAAGCAACGTTTAGGATTGAGTTGGCTGAATGGCTGAATTCATGCTGCTGTCATCCGTGCCACAAAATTGTCTTCTGAGGAATAATTTGTAGAATTTGTAATTTCAGCACCTCAGTGCATTTGAGGGCCTGCGAAGAAATCCAGCACTAGAGAGGCTCATGGCTGCTGAGCCCCATGGCTTCATTTGGGTAGCAGCTGTTCATAAGAGACTAAATAGATTCTTTATTTTTCCCTTTTCCACAAATGTCTCAGACAAAACCACAGTTCGCTTGCACCTCGAAAGATGAAAACCATGTTGATGGTTTTGCTTGGCAGCTCACTTTGGCTGCTATTTATTGAGCACCTACACTGGGCTAAGCATGGATAGACATGTTATATACAACGACTCCTGTGCTCCTTTTGCCCAATATTTTATTGTGAAATTTTTCAAGGCTAGAAAAATTGAAAGAATAGTACAAAGGAGACTTATAAACTTCTCATCTAGATTCAACATTTGTAAACACTTTGCTGCATTTACTAGTGTGTGTATCTTACATCTACATGATAGATGATGTATGCTATATAAATGTATTTATGAATACATACAATATTTTAACCATTTGAAAGTAAATTGCAGAAATCATGACAGTTGATTTCTAAACCCTTTAGCATACATGACTTAAAAATAAGAACTTTCTGCTACATACCCACAATGCTATTTAACCCCTAATAAATTTTGCATTAATTTTAAAATCATGTAATATACAGTTTGTTTACATTTTTAATAATATTTAGCCTGATTCTGTGGACAAAACCAGGGTTCAGGATATTTTTGGCAAAACCATTACATTGGTGATATATATTTCTTACTGTATTTTGTCAAGAAGTTCGTAATGTCAGGGAGCCCCAGTACTGATGATGCCACATATGGTCACTTAGATAAGACAAGAACTACCCGGTCCCTCCACTGTACATGTAGCACCTTTTTTCTTTTGTAAAGTATCCTTGAAGTGAAACTTTGAGTTGGAATGAGTATTGTATT